ACAAGTCGAAATTTTTCACCATAATCCACTGGGTAGATCTGAGTATTTACATCAAGTATGAGGTCCATCTTAAAACTTTCACTTTCACAATGAAGTCGAGACACTGGATGGGAAAGAAAACAGCAACACTCTTTAAAACTTCATGCCGATTTAAGAGATTTCATAATTGGGCAAAACTGCTGGATTTTATATCCTGAAGGCTCACTTTATTCCTACCGAAATTCCCTTCGAGAGTGACCAAAAGTGCTCAGTTTTAACTTGGCTGCAAACAGATGAGATTTTACTGTGGACTAAGCCAGAAGCAAATTAACAAGAATGAAACAATAGATTAATATTAAACTGCTCTGGGCCGTGAAGTTGCAAACCATCCTTTCACTCTAAATCTGTCAATGACAGCTGCAAAAATTATTGCATAATTATTGCAGAGTTCATGGATTACAGTCTTTCATAAAACTTCTTAGATTTCTATACATTTTTTTTCTAAATGCAGCATTTTGAAAATTACAAAAAGAGATCTTAACTGAGAAATGTTGACCACTGTAGACCAAGATTCCATTTTTTCCTTCGAAGGTTTCAAAGTGTAAAGCAAGCTGCTGTTGAGAAGCCGTCTTTTTGCAACGTGTATTGTTTTTTTAAGATAAACTGACCAATGAGGTATGGAACTCTGCAATGATTTTTGGCCGTGTATGAAGTCACATAACTAAAATGCCCGGGTATCAATCATGGGTTTTGTTGTTTTTAACAACAATTAATGTAATGCAAAAAAAAGTCAGTAAAATTTTCACTTTACTTGCTCTTCGCTGTTCATTACTACTACCCCATAATTAGCAGCCTCACATTAGCCTTGTCTACATCAGTTGTTTTGGACTATTTTTAGTAACTTGCCCATTTTCCATTTTGAGAAATTCTCAACTTAGATCTGACGCTTACCGTTTGCCATAAACATCACTCTAAATCTCTCTAATAATTATACTTATGTATTTGTAGAGATCGAGTAGGCTCATTTTCATAGGAGACTGGCACATGCATCCTAACACATGACAGCGCTCATTATTGAAATCTGACCGATCCCCGTAAACCGTGGAAACCAGTGTAGATCCGTGCCTGAAGAGAGACTGTTCTGAATTTACAGTGGAGCAAAATCAGAAATATACCCAGCCACTTAATTGCCTTGTAGAACCGGTTTTGAGTATGAGGCATAAAACAAACAGCACCTTTATTATCAGTTCAACGAAATGCAAACAAGCGGCCAGGTATTCTGAAGTTTAGCTCAGATACCATGTGAACAGTGAGTGTCCAACGAAACGAAACAAGCTGTAGAGCTTTGCAAAGTTGGGACTCATAATTTACATTATTGAAAGTAAGAATTAAGAATTTGACCATTCTTAACAATTAAATTCTTGGTTGAAACTTACCTCTTTCGAATTTTTTACCCTCAGGATCGATGTCTTTTACGTCGAAAATATCTTCAAACAAAACTCCTGCCATGTTGAACGGTCTGAGGCCAGTGTGCGGACCAACTAATACCAACTAGGGGAGGACTAAAATATAAGATTACACAAGACAGATAATAGAACCTACAAAATACGCAGATGACCTTTTCATCCTTTTTTTGTATAAATATGAAGTTTATTTTGTTGTTATAATAAAATACAGTTAAAAACTCGAGAAAAAGTTGTTAATTTAAAAGATTATGTATTTAATACTTTAGTCTACCCTACTGGTAATTTGATTAAAAGGTCGAGTAAGCCTGGTTCTAGTTCTAGTCTTTCCACGTGAGAACTTCAAGATGGCGGACGACGATGGCGACGTTTCTTCGAAATCGCACAGAAAAAAACAAGCTGGACCCAAAGCAGAAAAGAAGAAGAAGAAGAGACACGCACCCGAAGATGCAAGTGCTCAAAGAAATCCCAAAGCCTTCTCATTTAAGTCGGCCGTCAGGGCATCTCGTCAATTTCGTCGAAAACAAGATGCAGAAACAAAAAAGCACCATGAGCCCACAGTTGATCGAACACCACTAGAGCCGCCGCCTTATATCATAGCCGTGGTTGGACCACCTAAAGTGGGAAAAACAACACTCATCAACTCACTGCTCAAGAATTTTACCCGTCAGCAGCTGTCTGATGTCAAAGGTCCGGTTACTGTAGTCTCAGGTAGGTTTACCACTTATATTAACTTAAAAGTAAAATTAGTGCGGTCTATGGACAACATTAGTACCCAATGGCTTGAACTCAAATCTACAGTGAAACAACCAGTGTCTAGTTCAGGGCTTGAAATCACAGTATTAGACTTGGATACTCTGTAGAGTGGCATTCACACTCCAAACTCACCTGCAGTCCAAACTCACTAGCAGATAATTTATGAATCCCCTTTCATCCCTCCCTACTGTTACTACTACATGTACATTGAGCGTGCTCATACATGAAATACAGCTGTAGGGTGCTTTCCATTTTGCCAAACCAAACAGTCAGAAAATGTTGGAATTATCAAGAGAAACTGGAACGACATTGTTTGATTGAAACAAAGTTTTCAATTGAACTGGAGCGTTCAATTTGGGTTTTGACCAAAATTTTGATTACTGTAGTACTGTAGAGTACTCTACTGTAAAGTAGGGAGTGATTGGTTGAAGATCATGCACAAACCTGGGGTGATTTGGTGCTGCATTCCTTTATGAGCTGGGGAGGAATTCCATCAGCGTTCGATGTACCTAGTCTGTTTGGACAGCTCATCACTTCCCCTACTGACACTTCAGCTTGCAAGTGTTCTGTAATAGCCATCAGCAGCACCATGCAGACTGAAGCATTCCATTTATTTCTCAACTGAAATTTCCGAAAACTTTGCCATAATGAAGAGCATGTAGTTACAGTCAAACCTCTCTATGGCAACAACATTGGGAACACAAGGTTTTGAAATTTTGAGCACACATAATTTATACAGATGTCATTAATTTACTTTCCTCTCCTTATTATTAGGAAAGAAAAGACGCCTTACGTTGCTGGAATGCAACAATGATATCAACTCAATGACTGATGTGGCCAAAATTGCAGATCTGGTATGTTCAAATAACATTAGAGTGAGTATAGTATTAAAAGCAGTAAATTACACTGTAAGCTCCTCTTCAATAATTATGACGAAAAGTGTAGCCTTTTCTTTACTCAACGTTGGGTAGTCGCTCAAATCCAAAGAGGGCAGTTTATCTCTTTTTTTGCTTTTGAATTAATAGGAATTTATTGCATGTGCATGGGCAGGCAACATTTTGTGTTTATTGATATGGCCAGGAACTTCAAGTCCTTTTCTAGCACTAATGGTTCATTTTATTTTTTAAAAAAAGAAAAAAAGCAGCACAAAAAGAACTGCAGTTAGATAGACCTTTCTTTACATTTTTAAAAGTAATTTGATTTACCCATTATTTAAATCCCAATTCTAATCTTTGTTTTAAAGTGTTAATTTTTTTTGTTATATCAGGTCCTTCTTCTTATTGATGCCAGCTTTGGGTTTGAAATGGAAATTTTTGAATTTCTGAATGTCTGCCAAGTGCATGGTTTTCCTAAAATCATCGGAGTGCTGACTCACCTAGATCTGTTGAAGGATAATAAATCTCTCAAGAAGACCAAGAAGAAATTGAAAACTAGATTTTGGACTGAAGTGTACCAGGTACATAAGTTATTATACGGTTTGTTTGCAGTTCTAAATAACATTAATACACCGTAAACTGATGTCACATGCAAACTTGAACTTCAGAGTTTTGACAGGAGATGTTAATATTTTTGTTTTTGGAGTTAGTACCTGTATACATGTATATAAATATATGTCATGCATGTACAGGCTGGTAGAGTTGTAAATCAGATCATGTAGGTATGTACAGCATAAAAGGTGAAAAAACAACTTTTTTCATAAATATAGAGATCATCCTCTTTGAGCTCCATACAAGCTTCTCAAAGTACAGATATATCTCAAAATAAAGTACGGCTACCGTAATGATTATTAGTAATAAGTATGTAATCAGAATTTGAATGTTGTGGTAATTGTTTTTGTTCTCATATTTTTTTTGTAGGGAGCAAAATTGTTCTACTTGTCTGGTCTGGTTTATGGTTCTTATCCCAAAGTAGAGGTACACAACCTAGGCAGGTTTATTTCTGTCACAAAATTCCGACCACTGACTTGGCGTGTTTCACATCCTTATATCTTAGCAGACAGGTATGTACTACATAAAAAACATGTTCCATTCACTGTATTATTTAGTAAACCACTACAGCAAAGATGTGGAGAACCCATAACATTTTATTAAAAATGACTGCATATATAACAAGATTATTTTATTATTTTAAAAAAAAGAGTGTTGTGTTGTACTTCTGGTAATTATTGTGGTTATTATAAAATTGCTGTTGTTGTTCAATTTCAAGTTCAAGTTCATATACATTCACACTTATTCAATTACAATACAACAACACTAA